AATAAATGATTTTTAATCTTATTGAATGAAATATATTCAAAAAAGGTTTTGTAATAGATTTTTAACCTGATAATAATGAAATAAAGAATATTTAATAAAATTTTTTGTTGATGAAATCTAAAATTTTTTTTAGCTATTTCATCCTAAATTAAATTTTTTTTCTTATTGATATTTCATGAAATTAAAAAATTTTTTTGTAAAATTCAAAATTTATTTTTACAAATAAAACCTGGTGAAAAAAAATAAAATTTTTTTGAATTTACTTTTATAATCATTTAATATATTTTGAATAGTAAAATTTATAAATTAAGATTGAATATAATACTTTTTTTTAATTTTAAACTTAAAATATAATTTTCTAAAATTAAACTAAGTGTTGAAAAATTAATTTAAAAAGTATTTTTTACACAAAAGTAAATTATTTATTATTGATTTTAATTATAAAATAAACACTTTATTAATACAAAAGATAAGATTAATAATTAATTATATAACCATTTATATTTTCAATAAAATTACCATTTAAATTTATTATAAGTCACCTTAATATAATTATTTTGTTTGCACTATTAAATCTGTAAATGAGATTTATTTATTTTTAAAAATTTATTTTGTTTTAATTCATTCTAAATATTTGAACAAAATTATTTAAATTTATTGATTATTCAATGATTTATTTATTTTTATTGGTAAATATTAACTAAAATGTTTTATTTCCAATCCCCAACGATTTGAGTTTTTCCATCTGATAATGTGAAAGTACCCACTCCTTCAGCCATATCGTTCATAAAGTTACATTAAAACTTTGAAGAATTACTGAAATAAAAGGTTCCAAATCCAGTTTTTTCATCTATTTTAAATTCTCCGTCAAACTTTGTCCATTCTTCAGACATTTTATTAAAATCTTAAAAGTCTATTTCTTCTCCATAGCTTATAGGGATAGGCTTTTCATTATAAATAACTCCTCTTCCATCAAATTTATCATCTTTCCATTTACCTTCATACGCTAATTAGCCGGATGGGTAATAAAGTTTTCCATATCCGTTCATTTACCTCTTCCCA